GGGGGGGGGGGGGGAGGGTCACAAAGTGGTGTCCAAATGATCCCGCCTCCACACTCTGATGGGAGAGGAGAGTGTTGAAATCGCTGGCTTCCCGCCAGTCAGCAGTGCGGGGTGAATAGAGCTGGTGCTGGAGCAACTTCTGTGCCTCGTTTCCTCACCTGTGGGGACCAGAAGGGTCCTGCACCCATGGAGTGGGGATTCAGGATCGTGCGTGTAAGCGCCGAGCAGAGATCCCCGCACATGTACGGGGCCTTCGTTATCCCCGGAATATGACTTTCTTTCCAATTCCTGCGAAGGGGCTGTAACAAAACGGCACTTGTCCCCCATCTCTATCCCCGGTACCTGAAATTATGTTGGGTTATCCAAGGCCCGTTTGCTGCCCTTCACATGAACGATGGATGGTAGGAGGAACCCCACTTCTCATAAGGAGTAAGATTCTTTTTTCTGGGTGATCGTACTCGCTTCCTGGGGCTGTGTGAACAAATTACCACAAACTGGTGGCTTCAAACTAGACTTTGTTTTCATCCTCTGGAAGCCAGAAGCCTGAAGTCGGGATACAGGCAGCACGGATTCCTGGAGGCGCTGAGGGAGATCCCATCCCAGGCCTCGGCGTGCATCTCATGGTTGCGGCAATCCGTGGTGTTCCTGGCTGGCAGCTGCATCCCTCTCACCTCTCTTCTGTTCTCACGTGGCGTTCTCTCCTCTCTGTGTGACCAAACGTCCCTCGTCTGATAAAGATGCCAATCATTGGATGTCGGGCCCACTCTAATCCAGTGGGACCTCACCTTAACCTCATTACATCAGCAAAGACCCTGTTTTCAAACAAGGTCACATTCCCAAGTTCTTTAGTCAACATAAATTTGGGGAGGAGCCACTATTCACCCCATTACAACTCCCAGCCTCAAAGCCTTGAGTGAGGGTGAGCTCTTTTGCTTAGAAGAATCAGTCACCACTTTTCTAGAAGAATTTCTAATAAAGATGGCTGGTATCCAAGTGCCAGGCTTTAAACCTCATCTCACTAAATTCTTACCACGGCACCTTGGGGTCAATAGCAGTCATGCCCGTCAGTTTACAGAAGAGGACACTGAGGCTCCGGCCACATGAATGACGTGGCCAAGGCTGAACGGTGAGAAAGGGTCAAGCTGGGATTTGAACCCAGAACTGGATGTCTCCGGAGCCAGAGTTCCGAACCCCACAGTGGCCCTGCCAGTCCACGCAGAGGCCCAAAGGCTGGACCCTGGAGGAGGGGCATTTGAGGAACCACAGCCACTGAACCGGCTGGCACACAAGTAACAGGCATTAATGCCAGCCTTGTTTCCCCCACTGCAGGCCCGGTACCCCCAGTTCATCAGCAGAGTGAGAGGACGAGGCACCTTCTGCTCCTTCGATGCTCCAGATGAACCCACACGGAATAAACTCATTTCAATAGCCAGAAGCAAAGGTAAGCAGGCCAGAGGGGAAGCCGGGCTTCGTTGGTGCCCAAGTCACCCTGGTATGGGGCAGGTGGTACACAGGACTAACAATACTCTGCATGTTATTCATTCACCAAGTATTCACTGAGAAGACCGACACCAACCCTGGAGTCATGATGATGAACATGACCATAAGGGTCCCTTCCTTCAAGGAGCTTATAGTCTAGAAAGAAGGGGTAGCATGAAAGAGACTATTTCATAAACAACCAATTGTATTTATAAATCCTAGGAAAGAGGAAAGGGGCCTAAGAGAGTGAATAGCTGGG